CCGGCCTTCTGTTTCGGGACCCCCTGCGCCCCGGGGCCTCGGGGGCGGGCTCCCAGACCGGCTGTGGGTCACGGGGCTGCAGATGGCCATCACCACGTGCAGGGGCGGGGTGCACCGCCCCCTTCCTCGACTGGCCTCGTGGCGGGAGCCCTGTATGGAAAGGGCCTGGGACCCCCACTTCAAGAGAGCTCCCAGGGCGGGGTGTGGTCTGGCAGGCGGGGGGTGGCCGAGGGCACGCGTGTTTGTCTCATAAGCGCCTTGCCCGTTGGTGGGTGGGAAGGATGCCTTGTTTGGGTGGGGACACTGGAGGGGGTGAGGAATGACACCCTCGGGAAGTCGGGCCTGCAAAGGAGTCCTGCTTTTGGCCATTGTGGTCACTGCTTATGTCGGCCACCGGCATTCTGATGGGTGTTTTCAGCCATAATCCCGCCCTGTCTCCCCATCCTTGGCCCCTGGCTTGGAGACTGTCCCTCTCAAACCCTCCCCATTCTCAGAAGGAAAAAGAACACCTTCCCATGCAGAATTCCAGCCACAGGTGTCACCGCGAGGGGGCACACTGCCCACCTGTTGCAGGAAAGCAGTGTGTATCAGGCTCCACGACAAAAGCAAATGATTTGACTTAAATTAAGTTTTTTCTTTGAGAATATTTTCATTTTCTTTAAAAAGAATATAGTTTTCTTCTAAAAACTTGGCCCACGGTTGTTATTTCTTAGGAAAATTACAAGAAACTCACAAATGTCCAATTTGTATATCATATAGCCAGTGTTCAAGCGGTAAAACATTGTCGTTTTAACTATTTTTGTATAAATTCCTCTAAAATCTCAAAATAATGTGTTTGCTTTTCAGACTTTAGAATAGTGTGGGGTTTTCTTTGTGTCTGTGTCTTAAACCTAATGAAACGTGGTTTGTGGAAATAGATTTTTTTTCCCCCTGAAAGACACAAGAGCGTTGGGAAGCTTAGATTCTCATGGATGCCTTATGTTCGATGTGCACTTGTGGGTGGTCTCCCCATCCACGATAAACCATCACAGGGGTTTTCATGGAATATTTTAAGTCTGCTTGTTCCTGTGAAAACCTGAACCATCTGCTCTTGGCCACTGCCTCTGCCCTCCGTTCCCCCCACTGTTAGATGTAAGGGTCTCTTTGCTTGTAGGATCGTTCCTACCCGGGAACCAGAATGTTGCTGGGAATGCTCATTGGGGTGCATAGGAGGGGAATTGGAAGCCATTGGGGTCCAACTGGCTGAGGCCTGGAGCAACTGCATAGTGAGTTTGGGGATTATTAACCAAATATTTTAAGGAAGAGGTCCTGAGACAGGAGGCGTGTGTCCCCAGAGAAAGGGACTTCAACAGGATCAAGGTGGCTTCTTGGAGGAGGTGATCCCAGTGGGGCAGGAGAGTAAATTCCAGGAAGAAGAGGCTCTTGCTGGCTTTCTCTTCTTGAGCTGGGCTGCTTTGCTTTCTAGCCAGTTATTGCAAAGCTTTCTTCTGATTGCCCTCTTTTTTGCTTCCAGTGTCAAAGCCGCTTTGCCCTTGATTTCCCCTCGTTGCAGATTCAGCTCTTCTCTTTTCTCTTCCTTTGTGTCTGCTGTGGAGGTGGCCCCTGGTCTTCTGGCCGTGGGGGCCACCATCTTCTCCACATCTGCTCTGTCCTGGTTACCACGCTCCCCTACCCAGTTCGTCACCTGAGTTCATGTGCCAGACTTTACCAAAAGTCCCAGCCAAGGGAATGCATGACCCTGGGGGCAGTGGCCTCGTCTCTGGCCACACTTTGCCCTTTCTCTTTGGGCTCCATGGCCCTGTAGTGCCCTCTCCCAGGGCTGGTGACCCTCACTGTCCCTCTTACCACAGAGCCTTTTCACATGCAGTGCCCTCTGCCTGGATCCACCCCTGCCCCATGCTTTAATTCCTGATCAGATCCTTCTGATCTCAGCGTCATGAATAAGCTAGGCTCCCAACACCCAGAATTTGGGGTCCCTGCTCTCTAAGCTCTTTCCCAAAAGGAGCATCTTCCAGTTCATTGTCAGGAGTCATGCTGACCTGATGCTGAGGAAGCAGTGTAAGAGCCAGACTCCAAGCTGGATAAATTACCCATGACCCACCTGCCCCTAGGATGTCTCCTCTGCTGTCGACACCTGGTGACTCCTCTAACTGTGCCTTTGTTCACTGCTCTGCTCTCACGTGTGAAGAGAATAGGTGCTTATTCTTTTGATGCCCATCTCTCCTCCAGAGGGTGAGCTCTCCAGGCCAGGGTCTGTCTACGTTGTCCGCTCGTCTCCACAGTGCCTGGTGTGTGGTTGGTACTATAGCCTGAGCCAGGCCCTGCGCTGGCCTTGAGAATCTCGGTTTAGGACCCTCCCTTCCCCATTGGTTTGCAAGTCCAAGTACAGCCTGAGTTGTTCAGTGAAGGAGCACAGGTGGGATAAAGGCCCAAGAACAGAGTTACACAAATGCTATACACATTGCACGTCATGTGTGTGCCCCAGGCAGTATGCACACAGGTGTGCCTTTGTGGAAACCCTTGAGTGTTGGGTCCGTTACCGTGTGTGTGCACGCGCGCGCGCATGTGCATGTGTGAGAGAAAGGGAGGGAGGGAGGAATAGAGGGTGAGAGGGAGGGATAGAGAGGAAGAGATGGGGATTAGGAGGGAGATGAGGGGCATGAGACAGGACATTGAGAGAGCGAGATAGGGTGAGAGAGACAGAGAGACTTGAGAAAGGTGTGTGAGAGAATGAACGTTGGACAGAAAGAGATGGTGAGGAATTGCCCAGGAGAGACAGGAAGAGGGAGAGATTACATAGAGATTGAGAGGGAGACTGAGTGAGAGAATGGTGGGGAGAAAGACAGAAAGATACTGAGACCCGGAAAGAGCAGGAGGAAGAGAGGGAAAGGTGGAATTAACAAATAACTGAGCATGGCCAACAGAACCTAGGCTCCTTTTCGCACAAGGCAGGGGCCCCCAGGGGTAATTTGGAAATACTTGGACGGCCTGGCCCACTAACAGAAGAGGTTTGCCTCCTGTAAGTGACAAAGGCTGTGATGTGTGCGCTTATGTGTGATGTTCGGCTGGGGAGGCGGGATCTTGGAGGTGGGTCTTGGACAGCGGGTGCCTGCATGGCTCTAGGATTGGAGGGGTTGGTGCTGACCCTTGTTGGCCAGGAGACACAGATGACAGCTTGCTGAACTGCAGATGAACTTGAGAGCCTTGCTCGGTAGGGGAGCTGGAAGGGGAGGGGCAGTTGGGGCAATGATTTATGGGACCTGGGAGGGGCTGGGCATAGGAATCCACAGCAGCAGGGGTCTGGAGAGCAAGGAGGGCCAAGGAATGACTTGGGGTCAGTGGGCCAACCCCGGGGGCAGTCAGGGTTGAGTGCGGTGATGGGTGGGTCTGGGCTGACCACCATCTCCCACCTCAACTCCCATCCCTGAGGCTAATCTTCTAGGTAGCGGATGCTGCTGGGAGGGAGACGAGGAGGTAGGAGTAGGCGCCGCCTGTGGGGGCCCCAGGAGGGCCTCGGGTTGGGATCTGAGGACAGGTCCGGGAGTAGGGGAAGTGCCCAGGTTGCTGGTGACCTTCCATGTGGGCATGTGGGCATCTGATCTGCATGAGCCCTGAGTGGGTGTGGTGGGTACCTGGCCGGGAGAGGGGTGTGTGTGTGTGTGCACACGCTCTGGGGACTTGGTGACTGCTGGGAGCAGGCCTGGGTTGGGGAGGTCTGAGCTGGGAGGGGCCATATGCCCTGGAGTGGAGGTGGGGAGGCTCTTCCTCAGCCACCCTGGGAGGAATTCTGTGTGGCACTGTCTCCCGGGGGAGCAGAGCAGTCTGAGGCTACAAGTACTCATCAGGTCCCTGGTTACTGGAGACAGCGCAGGAAGCGTCCGGGAACCCGGAGGGCCCTAGGGGAACACAGCTGGGGTTAGAGGTATCTCCCCATCCCCCTTTCCTTCCTTGGCCCCGAGGATGCTGCTGGGCTGCCCTCCCTAAGCCCAGGGGTGTGTGTCATAGGTGGACCCTTTCTTGTCCTGCGAGGAGGGCAGAGGGCCTGGGGAGCCTCCCCATCAGGCTCCTTGGGGCTTCCCTGGGCTGGGGGTACTGTGGCCCTGAAACATCTGGCATTTTGGGTGAAAAGTGCTCAGCAGTGGTGTTGGTGTGACTGTCACCTGCTCACCTGTCTGTCCCCAGCTGCTCACCTGTCACTCCCATCATCCCACACCAGTGCAGACTCTCCTCCACCTGTGCCGTGCAGGGGTACCTGCCTGAGTCACACACACCTGCACTGCTCCCTGGTTACTGGACTGTCTCAAACTCTACCTTACCTGCCTGAAGTTACCTGCCACACACCTGTCACGGGCACCTGTGCGACGCAGCTGGCTTCTCACTTCTGTGCGACAGCATCTGGGCTGTCAGTGCTCGGTCCACCGTCAGCCTTGCAGACGCCGAGAGTGGGGCTCGAGCCCAGGGAGAGGCGTTTCTCCAGCCAGACGTTTACTCACCCTCCGTCAATCCCAAATTGCTTTGGAAACTCCCTCTTCCACCTGAGCCAACAGTGCTAGTGAGGATTCCCAGGCCTCTGCAGCTGGGCCCGCTGCCTGGCCCACGGCTGGTGCGGCCACATTCCTGAGCTGTGTGGATCTCAGCCAGGATCTGCTGTCTCTGCAGCCAGATGGGGACTCTGAGTCTCAGCCTGTCCCCAGACCAGCTCTTCCATTGTCCTGCCCAGCCTGGCTCAGGTCTCTCCTTTCACTGCCACCTCCTTGGGTTCCCCGCAACACCTGGGGCAACTCTGACCCTAGAGACAAG